TTTTTTTGTATTTACCTTGCTTTTCGAGTACCAAATTCTACATTGTTCTACATTCCAATGGTCTAGATCCCGATCACAATAAAAGTGGATTATTATCTACAACCTAAATGCCTAATTTTGTGAGTATCCATGTCAGCTATGTGATTTTTAGCCCCTTTCAAATTTGATGATATTTTCCATACGAATTTCTCCATGTTTATTTACCATCTTTTCTCTTCCGTCATTCTTGACGATAATTGGATGTTGTGTGGGAGTAATTGGAGGTTATGGAAAGTTACAGGTTTGAATTTCAAGTTCAAATTCTTGACCTCAAATTTTATACCTCTAATGAGGTCAATAGATCCCAAGTTCTCTCACATCCATTTAAGTCTAATTCCAACACACTTGGACAAACCGTTAATCACATGTGGCTTCCTCCAGTGGTGTCCCCAGTGTGATTAAATTGTATTAATTATAATATGAATTAATTCAATAGTCAGATAGACCAAATTTTAAACGCAAAATTTTTGTAATTAACATTTTCTACTTACTTATTTCCAGCACTTTTGTCCTGATGGAAAATTAGATTTGCTCAGCTCATGATTTAAGACAAAATTAATAACCTCATTAATAATCCAGCCGTTTGTCAATTGCAAAGTCACATGTTATTTGACCACATTCCTTACAGAGTAGGTAATTTTTATATGGAAAATAATTTGTGCGATGGGAAATTTTGAGTTTTAGTAAATAGATCATAGGATCTTGATACAAATGCAAACATAGTAATATGACTGCTGTAAACTAAACATTACATCTTGATTTTATGTTAACTGATGAATAGGAGCACTGTAGGCAAATATAACAAAAGGGAGATTACAAAAGTAGGTAAGTGAACAAGAGTCTTCAATTTCCTTTACTTAGTGCAGTTCCTACGATCCTTATGAATTTTTAGATCCTATTAATCTTTTTTGACTTGATCAGCCTGCAAAGAAAGAATAGTACGATCTCAGAACATATAAAAAATAATAATAAAATCATAATTTATAGTAAAGACATGCTTTATTGAACATAATGAACATGATACTGAGAGAGTACGTGTGAGCAAATTTTGTCAAATATCCTATCAGAACTTGAACACATGAACGTACCAAAAATATCAGAAAGTTTGAAGGCTGACATATAAATGCACATGCTAAAAGACTGATGTAGAACTGCTGCCGAAAGTTTAGCAAAAGACCCGAGTCCATGTCTAGACAAGTGGCCTTAAATGAATAAAGGTTGCTAGAAAGAGGGAATAAAATATTGAGTTAGGTTTTGAGGGAATCTACATTGATACGGACTACAGCTGGTCTGTCTATCTCACATCTAACTATTAATGTGGAGTAGAATATTTTTATCAAGAAATAGGACCATTGGAATGTTATCCACAAAAAGCGTAATGGGATCAGATCTCATGTGGGCATCCTTTGGACCTTGGGACAGGATAAGAAGTTGAATGGAGTGTGTCTTTTTATTTCATTTGTAAATTCACAACTTCGGACTAATTGATGTTAAATCTTCTTGATGATAAGTTTATATTAAAGTTTAATTTTGTGAGAGTCTTGTTTTTTACTAAATCAAGAAACTTAAGCTTTCATTTAATGTGGAGAAAAGATTCTACTGAATTAATTACCTTTTTGATCTCCATGCATCCCTTTGGGCTAGCGTTTGTTTCTGCCTGACCCGTAATTTGGAAATGGGATGTTACCGGACTCAATGTGCTTGAGGTCCTCTACAAGAATCTCGTAGTGCCTTTTTACTTCCTCGGCAGATTTTCCGTCCACAGCCCGGGCTACATTTTGCCAACGATCTGGGGTCTCCTTATCATAAAGAGCTAGGGCCTTTTCAAACTGTTTGTTTTGCTTTGGAGTCCAAGACGAAAATGAATCTGAAGCCATTTGGATTTTGAAATTTCAAATATGTTTATACGAACAAAACCGAGTTGATTTTGCTTTTAGGAGTATACGATGTATTGTATTGTATTGTATGAAAAATAGAAACTGAGTAGAAGAATGCAGCAATGAATACTTAAGAAGTGATAAAAGTGGTTGGCAAAAAGATGATTTTAGTAGTGAAGAAAGAGGACTACAAGTCGAGGGGATAGTATGGGAAAGAAGTTCCTCACAGTGGCCCTTATAAATAGGAGGAAAAGTGGTGGGGTACTCCCAAGTCGGCGAATACACCTTTTAGGCAGAATATGGGTGACTCTTCCCTGTTACATACCATACATGCAAGAGACCACAAAATCATTTAAGGAAATTGTTATCGGCTGTGTTTGGTACGTAGTGCCTGATAAAGATTCCAAAGAACAATAATAAGATTTTCTTCTCTTCGGATTAAGCACGAACTTTACCTATTTCATTAAAAAAAGTGAAGTGAAGCCTTCGAGGAAAATAAAATAAATGGAAGCCATACATATATAACTTTAGACTAGCTTCTAATAAATCATATTATGACACGGTTTTCCTCCTGCTACAAGTGAGAATCATCGATTTCTTCAAAGAATTTAGGGTCTTCAATGAAATATGAATTATCCCACTGCCGTGGACATCACAATAATAAGTGCTTCTGCTGCATTTGTCTCATCCAATGGTTTAAAATACTCAACAGAAATTGCTGTCTGGAAAGGTGATAGAGTCAGTTTCCAGCCAAGATTCTCCAGATTGCATGACACAAACGACAAGTCCTTAATGAATGCACGAGTGCCACGGCCTTTATTAGCTGTTTTCTTGATAAGATAAAGGAATGAATGATGGAATACGAAGTGTACTAAGTATTACTGTTGTTTCTGGAGTTTGAAGTTACTCTTTCGAAAACAATCCGACAGAATCACCTGAATATAAGAATTGATCAACAGGATCTAAACAGTAATTCGAGCCCACTGATTTCACGATGTTTCCTTAAAACGAATTTGCTGCCTTCAATGGTGCTAAAGGAGTCCAGCAATCGTTTCCCAGGATAGAACGAATTTTCATCTCCTATGGAAGCAGCACTGCAATCTGCAGGAGTTCCAACGAACTGAACGAAGTGTGTTTTACTTCGAGACAATATCAGAACGAGAAAGAGGGAAATGAGATTCAAAGCACAGAAAGTTTGCAATGAAAATGGTGTAAATTTCCTGGTAGAGAGGCTAGCTATTTATAGACTTGTTAGTGGTCATTCGAACAGTCATCACCTTTCAGACAAGCCTCAAAAAT